AAAGTCTGGGCCTGGGCTAGGCCTTATCTAGGGTATGGACGGAGAAAGGTGTGGCCACATCAAATTCAGATGTGACCTCAGCGGATGCAGATGTGACCTCTTCCAGGGGTGCCAGTTGCCTAGGTAACGCAGGTACTGGGTGGAGACTTTGCTGCGAGGAGGGTGGAGTCTGCTGGTCATCCAGGAGCGGACCTTACATTCCAGCCTTTTAATAATCATGAAATAGGGCACAAATTCTCTCTGGCTACTTCCTGCTGACAAGGGGCATCGACATTAGGGGTGAAAGGTTGGAATTTGGTTCCTCCCAGGGAAGGTGGCGAGCAGCAGCTGTCCCTTGGTGGTGTGAGTCCTTAGATGAAGTCTGGAGAAGTCTCCTGAGGCATTGAGGGGCTGGAAAAAAATACTGGAGAGCAAATAAATGGCAAGAGGAAGAACTTGGGGCTGAAAAATGTTGGTAGAAATGTCCCTATCTGGTGACAAGGTAGAGGAGAATTCAGGTAACAAAGGCAAGAATGTAAATTCCTGTTCAGTTAATAAGTAGACAGGTATAGACATTGGATGGGCAGGCTTCTTCTACTGACCTCCCAGCTCTGGTTAATTTTGAAAGGGCAGGCACAAAGTAGCTGATGTGACATCATCTCCTCTTACTCCTCTCCATGTTCCCTTGTTCCTCAGACTGGCTGAGTCTAGGTGTTCATTGCTGGGATGGCTTGTCCCCGTTGGTATTTAAGGGGGTTTGAACTCAAGGCCTGGGCACAGTCCCTGAGCTCTTCTGCTCAAGGCTAGTGCTCTACCACTTTGAGTTACAGTACCACTTCCATTGTTTGGCTGGTTAGAGATAAGAGTCTTGAGCCATGCTTCCAGCCTGGCTCTTTGCAGGTTAGTTGGGAGATGGAGTCTTAGGGATTTTTCAGCCTGGGCTGGCTTTGAACTGCAATCTTTGCCACAAAAGCCCTTTATTATTTCCAATTAAAGCAACAAGGAGATCAAATAGAATAGAGCTTACCTGGTCCTTACCAAGAATTGACCAACAAATATTCTGCAATGACAAAACTTGTTAGATGTGATGAGAATTTTAGCACAGATAGGCCCAGTATTTTAGAACCACGTCTGGACAGAGACTGAGCAACAGAGAACCATAGAGAGTAGTTTCACTCACCAGAGTAGAGAAGTGGTGTGGACGTGGATGTGAAGGCCAGCAATGGTATGCATGTGCTATGTCCGCAGCAGACAGACCGGTTCGCAAAAGGCCATCAGAACTGTGGGTATTCCTCAGAGCAAAAAGGGAAAAGCAAACAAAAAAAGAAAAAAGAGGAAAAAAACCAGAGAGGAATCCCACCTATCCTGACTTTAAGCCCTTTATCCGAGTCACGGCACCATTGATGTTAGGTTTTTAAAAAGGTAGCCGAGTAAGAACCATACCATGCACGTGGTATTCAGGTAAGGAGTAGGTTTATTCATTGTTCTGGCTGGCACCAGGCCACGTTGGCCCTCCCTGCGGCTGGGAAAGGCCTGGGAAAGACCTGGGAAAGAGCTGAGAAAGAGCTAGAAAAGAGAAGAGAGAGCTGGGAAAGAGAGGGGTGGGAAAGTGAGAGCTGGGAAAGAGAGCTAAGAGAGCTGGGAAAGAGCTGAGAAGGAAAGAGCTGAGCTCTGCTCTGCTCTTCTCTTCTCTTCCTTCCATTCTTTCCTCTTTTTCTTTTTTTTTGGGGTGGTCCAGTCTTGGGGTCTGAACTCTGGGCCTGGGCGCTGTCCCTCAGCTCTTCAGCTCAAGGCTAGCGCTCTACTACTTGAGCCACAGCACCACTTCCGGCTTTTTTCTTATGTGGTGCTGAGGAATCGAATCCAGGGCCTCATGCATGCGAGGCAAGCACTCTACCACAGAGCCAACTTCCCAGCCCCTCTCTCTTTCTTTTTAATGAAGGAAAGGCATTAGAGAGACTTGTAAGTAGGATGGATTCCTTGAAGGAGAATTTGGATCTGAATGAACTCTTGGTCTTTTCTGATCTTTTTGGTTGCTAATAGTATGCAACCAAAGCATCAAGTTGTAATATAATAAATCTAGAGCTGAGAGAAGGAGGAGAGGGTCAGAGATTGTGTGTGTGTACCCATGTGTACACCAACACAACTTTATAGTATGCTTATGGTCATTTTAAAGCGGGTACATTGATGCTTGTATATGTGTTTCTCTTGTATATATAGTTTTATGTAGTTTACACATGAGTTCTAGTAACTCATACTTGCCAGTCTTCCTGGTGGTCAACTCAATCACGGCAGTATTTGTGTCCTGATCTTGATCTTTTCTTTTTCAAAACACATGATTTTTTTTTTTTTTTTGGTTGGTCATAGGTCTTGAACTCTGGGCCTCTGTGCTGTCCCTCAGCTCTTCAGCTCAAGGCTAGTGCTCTACCACTTGAGCCACAATGCCACTTCCGGTTTTCTGGTGGTTAATTGGAGATAAGAGTCTCCATAGGCCTTTTAACCCATGCTGGCTTTGAACCATGATCCTCAGATCTCAGCCTCCTGAGTAGCTAGGATTGCAAGTGTGAGACACCTGCGCCTGGCTTCAAAACACTACTATTTTTTGTTCAGAAATTTCTTTTGGGGGGACTGGGAAGGTGGCTCAGTGGTAGAGCGCTTGCCTTGCATGCCTGAGGCCCTGGGTTCAATTCCTCAGCACCACATAAGCAAAATGAAAAAAGCCGGAAGTGGCACTGTGGCTCAAGTGGTAGAGTGCTAGCCTTGAGTTGAAGAGCTGAGGGACAGCGCCCAGGCCCAGAGTTCAGACCCCATGACTGGACCCCAAAAACAAACAAACAAACAAAAAAACCCAAAAAAAAAACAAAAAAAAATTTCTTTTGGGATCTGGTGCCAGTGGTTTACACCTCTGATCTTAGTTACTTGGGAGGCTGAGTGTGAGGATTGCAGTTTGAAGCCAACTGGTTCATGAGACACTTATCTCCAGTTAGCTAGAAAAAAGCAGGAAGTAGAGCTGCGGTTCAAGTGGTAGAATAAAAAAGCCAAGGGCTAGCATTCTGGCCTTACGTTCAAGCCCCAATACAAAACAAAACAAAAAAAAGAAGAAAGTATTATTATTTTTTTAGCTCTGAAAATAGAGACTGGCAGATGGTGCGGATTAGTTTGAGAATTTGCTGAGTTTTATAATTGGATGGTTGTACTACATTATTATTGTTGTTGTTATTATTATCAGAGTATGTACAGTAGGCCTTTGGTATCTTCAGGTCTATGATTGTAAGGCGACTGCCCTTGAGGGAAAACCATGAATGGAGTTTAGTATGGTAATGTGGATACTTGTTAACTTTTCCTACAGCACTGCTCAACTTCCATTAATGGCATCTTTCAACACTTTATCACTTAAGTATAGCCACTTTTTTTGTATATATTTTTTATTGTAAAGATATTGTACAGAGGGGTTACAGTTACACGAGTAAATTAATGAGTACATTTCCTATCAAGCATTGTTACTTCCTCCTTTGTTTTTCCTCTACCATCCCTTCCTTCCCCACTGTTTGACTCCTCTCTTCCCCCCTACTCAAGTTGTAAAGTTCGTTTTCAACATAGTGTCTTGTACATCTCATTGTTACAATGGATCATCCTGTATCCTTATTTAAGCATTTTGTTATTTCCCTTCCCCTCCCCAAATTAGAAAAATGTATATATAAGATGCAGGGAACTGGAATAAAATATAGTGAAAACAGGTTATACCATGGGGGAAGAGCATACAAAAGAAACAAAAGAAAATCACATACATTAAAAACAACAGCAAGAAAGATAAAACTACTTTTGCCTTGCTTTATGGGCATCTTTGGTGCAGTTCAGAACAGAGAAAAACTCAGCAAATTACCTAGTGATTTAAGCACTACTGACTGCATAATGCATGTATAGAAATATAAAATTTCTGTTTTTGAAAAATCTTTATTGAACTGGGTGTTGGTGGCTCATGCCTGTAATCCTAGCCACGCAGGAAGCTGAGATCTGAGGATCATGTTTCAAAGCCAGCCCGGGCAGGAAAGTCTGTGAAACTCTTACCTACAATTAAGCACCAGAAAACTGGAAGTGGTGCTATCGCTCAAGTGGTAGAGGGTTAGCCTTGAGCTGAACAGCTCAAGGACACAATGTAGGCCCAGAGTTCAAGCCCCACGACCAACAAAAACAAAAAAAGAAAAGAAAAATCTTTCTTGTTTAAAATCTATTATGTTTTGACAGCACTTGGTTACATCTGCAAATAAGGCTGGACTATTTGGTTTTTGTGTCTATCCTATCAACTCCCTTCATACTTTAAAATTAACAGATTTGATTCCACATACACTGTTTTAATAAGTACAAAAAGTGGACATTTTATTTTAGTCAGTAAGCTGCTTCTTCTTTTTTTTTTTTTTTTTTTTTTTGGTTATTGTTGTTATTGTTGGTCATGGGGCTTGAACTCTGGGCCTGGGCACTGTCCCTTGGCTCTTCAACTCAACTCTTACCACTTGAGCCACAATGCCACTTCTGCTTTTTTGCTAGTTAATTGGAGATAAGAGTCTCATGGACTGGGGCTGGGAAGGTGGCTCAGTGGTAGAGTGCTCGCCTTGCATGCTTAAGGCCCTGGGTTAGATTCCTCAGCACCATATAAGCAGAAAAAAAAAAAAAGGCTGGAAGTGGCACTGTGGCTCAAGTGGTAGAGTGCTAGCCTTGAGCTGAAGAGCTGAGGGACAGCACCCAGGCCCAGAGTTCAGGCCCCATGACCGGACTAGTCTCATGGACTTTCCTGCCCAGGCCTTCTTTGAACTCTGATCCTCTTGTCTCAGCCTCTTGAGTAGCTAGGATTACAGGAGTGAGCCACTGGCGCTTGGTGCTATTTTCATTTTATCAATAGAAAACAAGAATTGGTTTTCATGTACATTGTTATAGATATGCTTACAAAGTACATCCAACTTATGCAGCAGAAACTGCTTACATTTTAATTTAAATAATCTGCCTTTGCACTTTTTTTTTTAAAGGTAGTATCTTCCCCAGGAGATGTAGCTGAAAAAGCTGACAGAATTATTACAATGCTGCCTACCAGTATTAATACAGTAGAAGTTTATTCTGGAACACATGGAATTCTCAAGTATGTATTTCTCAACTATGGATATTTTCTTGTCAGGAGTTTTACTTCTGTTAGAACTAATGAGAAATTACAATTACGTTTGTTAAGCCTTTCTATACTGTTTTGTTATTTCATAAAGTGAACAGTGTGGTTTTCTTTCTCATTATTAGGGTTTGTTTTTTTCACTGAAGTGAAGGATATGACTTTTGGGAATAGCTTTTCTTGTTTCTTTCCTTTAACTCTTTCATTAAAGTTAGCCTTTCCTTGGTAACATTTTTAAGAGACTTTTAAAGCTTATATTTTAAACTGTACAACTATTAAAAGCATAATTTTCATAGAAAAAGGGTTCTATGAAAAATAAAACCAAACATTGGAAGGAACACTACTGACATTTTATAGTATAATAAAAGGTTATTGTATATCCTTCTGGTTAGTACATCTGTAATAACTAAAGGGAAGTTGGACTTAAAATTAGCAGTAGCTCTTTAAATAAAATAAAATGTAGGTCAGAGTTTCCTAGCCAGTGCCTATCTTTCCTGGCTCTGTGAACCTTTTGGTTAATTGTTGCTTATTGCCAAAATCCTTGTGGTTATATTAGAAAGACAATGTTTGAATTCTCTTTTGTGGTTTTACTAGTTACTATTTCTAACTTGTTTTGTTGAATTTCAGCAAAGAGTGCCAAACCTTTAGGACCTTTAGACTCATACAATGTGAAAAGAAGGAGTTTAGTTTTATGAAACTGTAACACATGGCATTTGAGGTTTTTGGAAACTGAGTTGCTCTGGAAAACTAACAAAGTTAGAAGTGAAAGACACTTGGATATTAGGCAGAAAACTGATAAGATAAATGTTTAGATTTCAGAGATAGTTGAAAGACATTAATTTTATATGGAGCTTGCCAGGCCCACAGTGTGTGTGGTCCTGAGGTATCTTAGCTGACTCATTACCCAGCCTGTTCCAGTTATGGCCCTGCTTTACCTCTCAAGGAATAGTTATGAAAAGCTTATATGGAGACACACCCCTACATTTATTAATGTCTTTACTTTGGAGGATAGTGGACAGTAGATCAAGTTTGTGCAGTCCTTTGCAAGACTTTTCCTTTTTATTCCATGTAATTTGCTTCTTAGGGATGATTATTTTCTTCTGGGTCAGGATCATTTCCTCATACCTAATGCATATATATATATATGTAACTTTTAAGATAATCTCCCATTTCTTTAAAAATTTTAAGATCTTAAATATAGCAAAATAATAGAAGACTGATAAACTTAATTCTTATTTTTTAAGTTACATAAAATAAAATCTACATACTGAGGTGATCTCTAGTAGAGACCTACTGTGTTTCTTTTGTGGAATATGCTAGATCACTGTATTTTTTTGTTTCCTTTTATGTTCTAAATTTCAGTAGGTCAGATTTACAAGGTTGCAGTTTAACATGGACCCATCTAATGTCCAATGCTTCTTGATAAGAGTCACGCCTCCCATGATTTCTTTTATTCTGTTTATAATCACTGCATTTGAGCTAGAATAGTTAATATGTCTTAAACTTAGCTAATTTTGTGTTATATATTTTTCTATAGAAATATTTTACTTTTGGTAGTTCTTACCAATGACTTTTTTCTATATTTTCCTTTAATGTTTATATTTATTGAGTTCTAATTTTCCAGTCATGACTGTGTCCTCTAGGTTAGTATATCTGAAGTAAGAACTTAGGGAAATTTGATTTGAAGGTTAGCCATTGTTCTTTCAATAAGTTGTAACTTAGGTCAACATCACCCAGCTATTAAAAGCTTCCTTGTAGACAGCAAGGGAACTATGTAGGTATGTATTCTGCACTTATAAACAAGTATACTTTTGTATAAGAATCTCATTTAAATATTTGTGTAAAATACCACACATGAAAAGATTATATGCCTCTCTATCAATGTATGTTTTAATTCATTATGAAAAACAAAAAACCTGAAATTTCTCCATTCATTTCTGTTTTTCCTTTCTTACCTTCTTAATATTTTATTTTTTATAAAGTTTTACTTATTAAATGAAAGCATATGTTATCCTAAAGCAATCATTAGATTTTAACTTTCAGTTTTTATGCTTATTCTGCGTAGTGGGAATGATATGGATATATGCAATTTGCAGTGCAGCTTGTTAATGACAAATCATTTTTTTTGGGGGGGGGTCCGGTCGTGGGGTCTGAACTCTGGGCCTGGGCACTGCCCCTCAGTTCTTCAGCTCAAGGCTAGTGCTCTACCACTTGAGCCACAGCACCACTTCCGGCTTTTTTCTTTTTGCTTATGTGGTGCTGAGGAATCGAACCCAGGGCCTCAGGCATGCAAGGCAAGCGCTCTACCACTGAGCCACCTTCCCAGCCCTGACAAATCATTTTTTAAAGATTCAGTGAAACAAAATTTCAATCCTATCAAATTCAAATACCTTATTAAAGTTAATAGATGCTTTAAATTGCTGACATTTTAGCTTGTAACAATCTAGTTAGTGTGTACTTCACCTAAAACAAGAATGTATACTTTGTAGTATATTCGAATTACTTCTTTTGCTTTATTTGGAAGAGTTTGGTTTTCTTAGAACTATAGGTAAAGATAAAAATGAGATTATGAGCCAGTTCTAATTAATATTTTTAATATTATCCAATGACCTCTTTGATGTCTGAGACAACTTTTAGTTGATCCTGATTGTGTAGGGAGTTACATGAAATGTTCAGTTATAAACTATAAATATTTTCATTTATTTGCTTAGAAGAGTGAAGAAAGGCTCATTATTAATAGATTCCAGTACTATTGATCCTGCAGTTTCAAAAGAACTGGCAAAAGAAGTAGAGAAAATGGGAGCTGTTTTCATGGATGCCCCTGTTTCAGGAGGTAAGCGGTAGCTAAAATGTATGCATGCCTGTTCCTGTTTGTCAACAGTAGCATTCCTAAACTGTGGTTTTGGGTTACCTGAGGTATTTGCTATTAGAGGATTCCCAATCTTTCATTGAAAATAAAAACAAGACAAACTAGCATGATATTTAGTATTCTTAAGATGTTACAACTTTGAACAGTTGTGAATTTTTGGTCTATTTACTGTGATAGATTAATACCTAGATGTTTAGCTTTTAAGAATTGACTCGCAAAAAATAATTAGCTTCACTCTTTTTGTAACTGTTAAAGAAACTGAAGTAGTAAAAAAAAGAAAATAATATTTCACAAGGAAAACAGTATAACCAGATGGTATTACAGATGAGTGTAACCAAACTTCAAGATCATCTAGATTTCATGTAATTTTTTCCAGACAATAGATAAGGAAATATGTTCCAACTCATTCTACAAGACCCATGTAACTTAAGTCAGATAGCAATAATTGGAGAGGAATTACATGTGTATCTTTTCAGTCATAAATACACATGAAGAAACTTAAAAAAAAAAAAGCATTAACAAACCAAACCCAGCCATGAATGAGACACCAAGCAGTTTAGCTAACTTTGCTTATACTATATGTGCAGTTATCTCTTTCTGTCTTTTTTTTTCTTTGATGCTGATACTTAGGGCCTTATTCTCACCTGGCTTTTTTGCTTATTGCTGGTACCCTACCACTTGAGCCACCCCACTAGTATGGTATTTTGCTGGTTAGAGTCTCTCAGACTTTTCTACTTGGGTTGGCTTTGAACCTTGATCCTCAGATCTCAGCCTCTTTAGTACCTCGGATGACAGATATGAGGCAACAGCACCTGGCTGTCTCAAAGATGTCTTAATATTGGAAAACTTGTGAATGTAATCTTAGCACATATCATACCTACCTATACCTCCAATCATATGATTGGAGAAAGTAAGGCAATTCACTTTGAAAACTAAGGTCATTCTAAACACCTGTGTATATTGTGGACTGTGAAAAAAATATATGTGTGTGCTCTAGGCAAGATACATGCTAGAGAAGACCCCGAGCTTTCAGTTCTGGATGATCTTTACTCAGTTCAAGTCTGGATAAGTGATGGGGAGGTTTTCTAGCACAGAACCAGCACAGAACCAATCTGCAGAAACTGGGGAACGTAGGTTTTAGTTTGTTATTGTTTCAGTTTTTTTTAAACTCCTACAATTCAAAGAAATTTTTCAAAACACTAGCTAAACAAATGATAAAGAATTGGTTGACTACCCGTGACAACTGGCATCTGCAAAAAATAGTTTAGGAATGTCACTAACTAATGACTTCAACTGATAGCAGAACAAAAATAGCAATCCCTGGGGAAGAAAAAGCACTTGATTTCCAGAGTTACATCAAGAGAACAAAACAAAGTGAGAGAAATCATCACTGGAAAACAAATACATCATATGATTGGCTTTTGTAAGAGGAGGAGACTCATAATTCTAAAAACTTACATCAAATAATATCATACGTGTATTTGGGAATTACTGTGTAATCAAAATTACAAATTTAGTCTATGTGTATGTAGGTATTATGTACGTATTTAAAGCAGTAGACACTTACTAGAGATGTTATTACCATTATATAAAATGATGTGGTCTTACTGTTGAAGTTTTAAAATTTAAAAACATTTCAAAACCAATACGTGAAAGTTATATTTGTAGGGAACCATCTGATGTTTGGAGATATATACATATGTGTATATGTGTATATATATATGTGTATATATATTGAAGTAATATACACACACACATATATCTATCTATCTATCTATCTATCTATCTATCTATATATTGTAGTAATGTAATATCCAAATCAGAGTGAACATAGCTCCTCAAATATTTGTCATTGCTTCCAGGTAAAAATTCAGAATCTTTTAGCTTTTCTTTTTTTTTTTTTTCTTTTGGTCCAGTCGTGGGGCCTGAACTCTGGGCCTGGGCACTGTCCCTCAGCTCTTCAGTTCAAGGCTAGCACTCTACCACTTGAGCCACAGTGCCACTTCTGGGTTTTTTCTTTTTGCTTATGTGGTGCTGAGGAATCGAACCCAGGGCCTCAGGCATGCAAGGCAAACGCTGTACCACTGAGCCAACTTCCCAGCCCTCTTTTAGCTTTTCTGAACTATAGAAGACACTATGGTTTTCTGCAGTCATGGTAATGGGCAATAGAACACCTGAATTTTCCAATCTATATACTAACTTTATACTTGTTGAGCAACCTTTTCCCTTTTTACTTCCTCCTTACTTTCCCAGGCTTTGCTAGCCACTTTACTATTTTCAACTTCTATGAGACAGATAATCTTTTTTGAATTCTGTATGTGGATAAGATCATGCAACATTTGTCTTTCCGTGCCCATATTATTTCATTTAACTTTATTCCTTGTCATGAATGACAGGGTTTAATTCTTTTTATGCCTGAATGGTATTGCATTGTGTATACACTACATTTTCTTTATCCATTTATCAGTGAGTGGACACTTAGGTTGTTTCCATTTGTTGGCTGTTGTGAATAGTACTGCAATAAATACGGGAGTACAGATATCTCTTCAGCAGTATGATTTCACTTGCTATGCATTTATATCCAGGAGTGGGACTGCTGAATCTTATGGTCATCTTATTTAAAAAAATTTCAAGAGCCTTTAATCTGTTTTCTATAATGACTGTACTAAATCACGTTATCACCAGTGGTGGGTAAGGTTCCCTTTTCTCTACCCTTACCAGCACTTTGGATAACTATGGGGAGGTAATAATGTGGTTGTAATTTGTATTTTCTTGATAATTAGTGATGTTCAGCATTTAATAAGGTCTACTGTCTATTTTTAAGCTAGACTATTATTTTAAAACTGTGAATTATATAGTATGCAAATCTTTTCTCCTATTCTGTGGGTTCTCTTCCCTGGTGTTTCCTTTGCTTTGTGGTCTAGCAGTGTTCTTTTTATCTCAAGAGTGCAGCCTGTTTATTTATTTATTTATTTTTATTTTTTTGTCAGTCATGGGGCCTAAACTCTGGGCCTAGGCGCTGTCCTTCAGCTCTTCAGCTCTAGGCTAGTGCTCTACCACTTGAGCCACAGCGCTACTTCCGTTTTTTTTTTTTTTTTGCTTATGTGGTGCTTGAGAAATCTAACTCAGGGCCTCATGCATGCAAGGCAAGCGCTCTACCCCTGAGCCACTTTCCCAGCCCCTCCCTGGGCCTTTTTTGCTCAAGGTGAGTACCAATTTGAGTTAAAACTCCACTTCTGGTTTTCTGGTGGTTAATTAGAGATAAGAGTCTCACAGACTTTCCTGCCTGGGCCAGCTTCAAATGGCAGTCCTTAGGTTTGAGCCTCCTGAGTAGCTAAGATTATAGGTGTGAGCCACTAGTGCCTGGTGGCTGTTTTTATATTTTTAATGTGTTAAGTTAAAAACAGTTCCTAGCTGGGTGCCTATAATCATAGTTACTGGGCAGGCTGAGATCCGAGGATAGATTATGGTTGGAAGCCAGTCCTGGCAGAAAAGTCCATGAGACTCTTATCTCCAATTACCACCAAGTGGAGCTGTGGCTCAAGTGGTAGAGCCCTAGCTTTGGGCATAAAAGCTCAGGGACAGCTCCAGGCACTGAGTTCAGATCAGGGATCAGCATACTTGTGCTTCCCTGTCTTGCTTGGGGTAACAATTACTGCCAGTGCAGCCAGCCACTTCTTTGTTGGACCATGATTCCCTTAGTCTCTATTTCCTAACTAGCTACGATTAGAGGCAACACTGCACCCAGCCAACAACTTTACTTTTTCAGTTGAACACGGTTTTCTATACATTAAATGAACTGGTTAAAAATCATACAAATAAGGCTGGGAAGGTGGTTCAGTGGTAGAGTACTTGCCTTACATGCATGAGGCCCTGGGTTTGATTCCTTAGCACCAAATAAGCAGAAAAAGCTGGAAGTGGCACTGTGGTTCAAGTGGTAGAGCACTAGGCTTAAGCTAAATAGCTGAGGGATAGTACCCAGGCCCAGAGTTCAGGCCCCCATAACCGACCAAAAAAAAAAAAAAAAAAAATATATATATATATATATATATATATATAGTGGTGTGTGTGTGTGTGTGTGTGTGTGCATGCTCACGTGCATGCATGCTGGTCCTGGGGCTTGAACTTGGGGCCAGGTGCTGTCCTTGAGATGTTTTTGCTCAAGTCTAGCACTGTACCACTTGAGCCATACTTCCATTTCTGGCTTATCTTTCTTCCCTCCCACCCCCCCCCCCCCCCCCAGTTATTAATGGAAGAGCCTTTCCTACCCAAGCTGGCTTTGAGCTATGATCCTCCTTAGTAGCTAGGATTACAGGCATGAGCTATCTGTACCCAGTTAAAAATCATGTATTTTATACAATGAGGTAAAATAAAATAAGAGGGATATGGAAAATAAGAGATTAGATACCCAATGTTGTAATTTTATAGAAGTTCTGTATTCAGTAGTCTTAAGATATAGAATCTTTGGGATCCTTTAAAAATTAAAATTTAAAAATTTTAAAAATTTAAAATTTTCCTCCTTTCTACCCCTTTTCCCCAAGCCATTTTTATTCCTTACGTATTTTTATAAAATACATTTAAATGGGATGTACTGGCACATGCTTATAATCTCAGTGCTTGAAAAGCTGAGGCAGGAGGATTGAGAATATGAGCCTGGGCTATAGAGTGAGACCGTGTCTCAAAATAAAACAAAAATAAATAAATGTAAAAGGAAACTAGACAAAGTCCCACTTGACTGGTTATATATATATTTAATATATATAATCTTTCTATAGTATATATATACAACCATTCAAATATAATACAATATAATCAAAAGATTATTAAAAGAAACTGAGACAATATATATTTAATATATATAATCTTTCTATAGTATATCTATATCTATATACAACCATTCAAATATAATACAATATAATAATCAAAAGATTATTAAAAAAACAGAGACTACATAGTATACTTTT